AAAATAGCAATATATATAGATATAGATAGATATTTATATATCCGAGGGGGGAAAGGAGGGGGAGGGAAAGGGGAGATATCACGGGGCAAGGAGAAGCAAATCGACGGAGCGGGAAGGCCGAGGGCAGACAACGATGATCACACGAGTACTCACCATGTGACTGTTTGCTGCACTTGACCAAGTTCACTCAAAAGTCAACCTGATCATCTGATGGTCAACAATCTCAAAAGTCACGTGACCACACGTACACTCACCATGTGAGTGCTTGCTGCATTGATCGCTTCAGCACACGCGGCACCACCCCTCGGAAGAAACCAGGAAGACCCTGCGACTGTGGGTGGGTGGGGGGAAGAGGGAGGAGGAAACAGAGGAGATGGGGGACACGGCGAGGGGGGGGGGAGGGGGGGGAGTGGGTGGGGGACAGATGGAACAGAGGCAATGGAAGAATCGAATGGATGGGACCAAAAGTGCGAACAAGAAACGACTATTGAGGTGCCGAAATAAACATATAGAAATTTCACCATCCTTGTTTTTACCATCTACCTTGTAGATGGCTGACGTGGCACCGAGCATGGTCAGCGGCTTGCCAGGTGTCGCACGCAGAGAGGCCAGCTGCAGATGGGTTCGCACCTGAAGAGGAAAGACGAAAGCACACATGCAGCTGACATGAAGAGCAGATGGGGATCAGATGACTTTTGAGTCGACTCAAGAGCAGGTGGGGATCAGATGAGCTTAGATGAACCGAATGGGGACATGAAGATAGATCTGGTCTGAGACCTCTCAAAACACAGTCACTCTCATGCAGGTGGGTTCACAACTGAAGTCGAGATGCAAACACACAGGCGAAGAGAACACCAGGTGGGGAGCAAATGAGCACAGATGAACTGAATCCGTTCATTGGAAAAAACAAATGAACTGAATCGTTCACTGGCGAGACCAGAAGAAATAGAGATGCACTGACAAGAAGAGGAGATTGCATGCAAGCTAGGCAGTGTTGTCATCATGCCTACTCACGTGCTCATGCTTTCATCATGTCTTAACTGTACTCAGTGCGTGAAAACGCTCGGAAAAATGTGAGTGAAGATTTCACTCGCAAATGCTCAATGTGCAAAGCTCAGTGAACAACACTCACCACGCAGGCGGGTGGGTCAGAATGGTTGCGAGGGTCCCCGCTGCTGCTCCTGTGAATGGTTGCAGTCAATGTAGGGATACCTAACTCACAACTGCTCAATCAGCAAAGCTCAGTGACTAATGCGCACCACATCAGGTGGGTGGTTCAGAATTGTTGCAAGAGCAGCTTTTGAGTGGACCCAAAAGTCACCCCAATGCTCACTGCTCAGTGCTCACCACATCAGGTGGGTGGGTCAGAATGGTTGGGAGAGCGGCTTTTTGGTGAGCTCAAAACGCGCCTCGTTTCGAGTGAACTCAAAACTCACACCTCAGTGCTCAATGCTTGTTGCTCACCACATCAGGTGGGTGGGTCAGAATGGTTGCAAGAGCCCCCGCTGCTGCTCCTGTGATTCGCTCAAGGGAAAGCAGGGAGGGGGTACGGAGGCAGGGAAGGAGGCAGGTAGGTTTCGGATCAGACCTGCTTGAAATGTGACAACAGGGTGTTGTGTTGACACATGGGACAACCAGGCAGGAGGAACAAAGGGTCTGTGGAAGAAGTTTACCTACGTTGATTGAACTTTTGAGAATTCTCAAAAGTTCAATCAACGTACTTGGAATGTGGCACCAGGGTGTTGTGTTGACACATGGGACAACCAGGCAAGAGAAATAAGGGTCTGCGGAAGAAATAGGTGGAACAAGTAGATGTCTCGAAAGGTCAACACAGGCACATGCAGACCAAGAAGAGGGGGGGCAGACCAGCATAGAAATAGGTAGAATGTGCCCCACCCCACACACCTGCTGCCATAGTGGACACTGTGCGCGTTGCATGGCCATCATCGGTTGAGATGCGATCTGTTTCTCGGAGGAAAAATTATGGGCGATGGAGAAGGGCAGTGCAAAATGGGGGTGGAGGATGGAGGATGGAGGAGAGAATAGAGGCGAGCACATGCATTATCATGGATGAGGGAGCGAGAGAGCGCATGTGCGTACAGAGAAGGACAGGTACCATGTGGCCCAGGAGGCACATAGAAAGTTGACTTTTGAGTCGACTAAAAAGAGAAGGGCAGGTACCATGTGGCCCAGGAGGCACATAGAGAGTTGACTTTTGAGTCGACTAAAAAGAGAAGGGCAGGTACCATGTGGCCTAGGAGGCACATAGAGAGTTGACTTTTGAGTCGACTAAAAAGAGAAGGGCAGGTACCATGTGGCCCAGGAGGCACATAGAAAGTTGACTTTTGAGTCGACTAAAAAGAGAAGGGCAGGTACCATGTGGCCCAGGAGGCACATAGAGAGTTGACTTTTGAGTCGACTAAAAAGAGAAGGGCAGGTACCATGTGGCCCAGGAGGCACATAGAAAGTTGACTTTTGAGTCGACTAAAAAGAGAAGGGCAGGTACCATGTGGCCCAGGAGGCACATAGAGAGTTGACTTTTGAGTCGACTAAAAAGAGAAGGGCAGGTACCATGTGGCCCAGGAGGCACATAGAGAGTTGACTTTTGAGTCGACTAAAAAGAGAAGGGCAGGTACCATGTGGCCCAGGAGGCACATAGAGAGTTGACTTTTGAGTCGACTAAAAAGAGAAGGGCAGGTACCATGTGGCCTAGGAGGCACATAGAGAGTTGACTTTTGAGTCGACTAAAAAGAGAAGGGCAGGTACCATGTGGCCTAGGAGGCACATAGAGAGTTGACTTTTGAGTCGACTAAAAAGAGAAGGGCAGGTACCATGTGGCCTAGGAGGCACATAGAGAGTTGACTTTTGAGTCGACTAAAAAGAGAAGGGCAGGTACCATGTGGCCCAGGAGGCACATAGAGAGTTGACTTTTGAGTCGACTAAAAAGAGAAGGGCAGGTACCATGTGGCCTAGGAGGCACATAGAGAGTTGACTTTTGAGTCGACTAAAAAGAGAAGGGCAGGTACCATGTGGCCCAGGAGGCACATAGAAAGTTGACTTTTGAGTCGACTAAAAAGAGAAGGGCAGGTACCATGTGGCCCAGGAGGCACATAGAGAGTTGACTTTTGAGTCGACTAAAAAGAGAAGGGCAGGTACCATGTGGCCCAGGAGGCACATAGAAAGTTGACTTTTGAGTCGACAAAAAGAGAAGGGCAGGTACCATGTGGCCCAGGAGGCACATAGAGAGTTGACTTTTGAGTCGACTAAAAAGAGAAGGGCAGGTACCATGTGGCCCAGGAGGCACATAGAGAGTTGACTTTTGAGTCGACTAAAAAGAGAAGGGCAGGTACCATGTGGCCCAGGAGGCACATAGAGAGTTGACTTTTGAGTCGACTAAAAAGAGAAGGGCAGGTACCATGTGGCCTAGGAGGCACATAGAGAGTTGACTTTTGAGTCGACTAAAAAGAGAAGGGCAGGTACCATGTGGCCTAGGAGGCACATAGAGAGTTGACTTTTGAGTCGACTAAAAAGAGAAGGGCAGGTACCATGTGGCCTAGGAGGCACATAGAGAGTTGACTTTTGAGTCGACTAAAAAGAGAAGGGCAGGTACCATGTGGCCCAGGAGGCACATAGAGAGTTGACTTTTGAGTCGACTAAAAAGAGAAGGGCAGGTACCATGTGGCCCAGGAGGCACATAGAGAGTTGACTTTTGAGTCGACTAAAAAGAGAAGGGCAGGTACCATGTGGCCCAGGAGGCACATAGAGAGTTGACTTTTGAGTCGACTAAAAAGAGAAGGGCAGGTACCATGTGGCCCAGGAGGCACATAGAAAGTTGACTTTTGAGTCGACTAAAAAGAGAAGGGCAGGTACCATGTGGCCTAGGAGGCACATAGAGAGTTGACTTTTGAGTCGACTAAAAAGAGAAGGGCAGGTACCATGTGGCCCAGGAGGCACATAGAGAGTTGACTTTTGAGTCGACTAAAAATAGAAGGGCAGGTACCATGTGGCCCAGGAGGCACATAGAGAGTTGACTTTTGAGTCGACTAAAAAGAGAAGGGCAGGTACCATGTGGCCCAGGAGGCACATAGAGAGTTGACTTTTGAGTCGACTAAAAAGAGAAGGGCAGGTACCATGTGGCCCAGGAGGCACATAGAGAGTTGACTTTTGAGTCGACTAAAAAGAGAAGGGCAGGTACCATGTGGCCCAGGAGGCACATAGAGAGTTGACTTTTGAGTCGACTAAAAAGAGAAGGGCAGGTACCATGTGGCCTAGGAGGCACATAGAGAGTTGACTTTTGAGTCGACTAAAAAGAGAAGGGCAGGTACCATGTGGCCCAGGAGGCACATAGAGAGTTGACTTTTGAGTCGACTAAAAAGAGAAGGGCAGGTACCATGTGGCCTAGGAGGCACATAGAGAGTTGACTTTTGAGTCGACTAAAAAGAGAAGGGCAGGTACCATGTGGCCTAGGAGGCACATAGAGAGTTGACTTTTGAGTCGACTAAAAAGAGAAGGGCAGGTACCATGTGGCCCAGGAGGCACATAGAAAGTTGACTTTTGAGTCGACTAAAAAGAGAAGGGCAGGTACCATGTGGCCCAGGAGGCACATAGAGAGTTGACTTTTGAGTCGACTAAAAAGAGAAGGGCAGGTACCATGTGGCCCAGGAGGCACATAGAGAGTTGACTTTTGAGTCGACTAAAAAGAGAAGGGCAGGTACCATGCACCCCAGGGGCTACGTTGGCAGATACGCGTCCCAGGATATAATACGCTAGCGTATTATACACTGGTATATACGCGGTATGCCAGGGCTGGCAACCTGGTGATACGCAAAAATACGCTGGGCAGGCAGGTAAAACCTTTTTCCCGGGTAGGGCTAAAAAAACCTGTTTGAGGGGGGGGGATTGTTTTCCAAGAACACAAGTCATAATTTAAATTTCATAAATATCCAGAAATACATATTTGGGGCTACTTCTCCCCATACATCCCCACCCCACCCCACCCTCTAGCTAGCTTCCCCACAACCGATTTCCTTGCGGGGCCTTTCCACCACCACACCTTCTCCATACTCATCCGCCAGCACTGCATCCTCTCCTTCTTCCCCCAGCATGTCATCCTCCTCCTCATCCATGTTATAGCCGGGGGGGATAGGGGCATCCGAGATGTTACCGGGCACAACCGTGCTGCCCCCATCCTTCTTGTACCAATTGCGCACAACGTTCCAGATGTGCGCAATGTAGACGAGGTCCGTAAACTTGGCGGACCCGAGCCGGTTGCGGCAGGCGGTGTGGACGCCTTCCCACTGCGCCCAGCCACGCTCGCATGGGGAAGCCAAGACAAGCTGAGTGAGCACCGGGCATGCGAGGGCGGCAAGCTCAGGATACTCGGTGCTGTGCCACGACCACCACTGCACCATGCTCATCTCCCCCTTCTTCACTACCTCCCTTGCAGAAATGGCGCCCGGCTTGCCAAAGCTGCCCTCCATGTTGATGTAGGCCAGCAATGCCTCCTGCAACACAAGGGAGGCGCGACGAGGGGCGGCATCCTTGCCACGCTTGAAAGTCTTGTTGTCATAGTGGCGCTCGATGTAGTCCTTGAACACCCGCGTGCACTCCACATCGTTCCTGAAAATTCCTTCCTCCTGGTTGGCCGGATTCAGGATCCGGCCAACCACATGCATGGGGCAGGCAAGGGAGTTGTCCCACCTATCCTTCACAATCTTGGTAATGTCTGCCCTCTCTGTCCGAGTCAAGAAGTCACTTGAAGCGTCGAGCTTGTCATTGATGTCCTCGGTAAGCTGTAGCATGATGTCATACAGCTGACCCATCATGCCTTTCGCGAAAGAGTCCGTGGCCCGCATGGCCTTGAATGGCACCGCCATGAGAGAGGTAAAGAACTCCGCCACCCCCCACCACTCCTCATCCATCACAGCAGCCCTGAATTTCCCAGCTGCTGTCTTCCTATCCTTGTCCGCCGCTGCCCACACCTTCCACTCGTCGCGGAGCACCATCGCCGCCAGCCCACTCCTCACCTCACATAGCCGGGCCATGGCTATGTATTGTGTCCCGAACCTGGTTCCCGCAGGCTTGAGCACCTGCTTCCCCCCCACTTTCTTCATATAGGCACGGGTAAAGTGGTGGTTGCGCACGAAGGTAATCATCTCCCCTCTTTTCTCCACAAGCCTCTTCGCCCATCCCATTTTGCCCATATCTTCCATCATCAGGTCCAGGAGATGCGTGGCACATGGCACATGCTCAATGTGCGGCCATGTGCTCGCAATCCTCTTGGCGGCCGATGCAAAGTTGCTGCCGCCATCGGTGCAGACCGCCACCACATTCTCCGGCCCCACCTTATCAATGACGGGGCGGAGAAGGCTGGCGATGTACCCCCCGGACTTCGACTCCATGTTGCAGTCCACCGCCTGCTCGAAAACTGCGCCGGAGTCGTTGACAAGGAGTATGTTGGCCTGCGGGCGGCCACAACGGTCGGTCATCATGTCCGACGACACCGTTACCCCGTCCCGCTTCCAGCTCGCGGCAACGGGGGCGAACGCGACCTCCATTTTCTGCCGCACCTTCTTCAAGCCTGCCCCTCCAATGTAGCGCCTCTTAGGAGGGACGTACCCAGGTCCAGCGCGCGCAATGCACTGGACCGCGTAGCGGAAGACCGGATCGTCCGCAATGCGCTCCGGAAGTTTCAGCGCCGCGAACAGAAGGCAAAACTCGTTATCCGCGTCCTCCTTGGCGCACGTCGCCTCATTGCCAAAGAAATCCGTAATTTTGCTATTTTTCTCCGGGTTTCCACTGACAGCGTCAAGCGCAGAGTGAATTGCAGCAGCGGCCGCCCCTCGCTTCAAGTCCTGCTGTTCCGCCTTGGTCTCGTACATGCCACGGACTTGATCGCGGACTGCCGTGGGCGCGTCCTTGCATTACGCCACAGCGCGCTTCTCCTGCCCTTTCCATGTCGCGAGATGGATTGCACAGCGGTTTGTTCCGCCCTCGAACTTCTTGCCACTGAACTTGCACAGCTTGGGGTTGCCTTTGGTGTGAAACGGAATGAGGAAATGTTTCAGAATGGGGTGAGATAGTCCAGCCTCAACAGGATCCGTGTTGACGGTAGTAGAGCCATGGACAGAGGCTGGATTGTTGTTCGTCGAAGTACTAGGAGCTGAGCCCGACGCCATGGCGCACTACGTAAGTCTAACTAACGAAGAAGAGTGGAGAAATGCGGGAGGAAATGGAAGAGCATTTGCGCAACGTTGACCTATACGTGCAAACGATGGAAGAACATTTGAAGGGGGTGGTTGGGATTGAGAGGTTGGGTGGGGTGATGTGTGGTTGAGGGGGTGGGAAAGTTTGGATTTTGAAATTCGAAGTTCAGAAGTGGGGTTGGGCACATGAGTGAAGTCGCGGTAACACTTCGCGACTTCGCACATCGTCGCGAAGTTTTTCAATTTCGGATTTTTTTTTTCGCCGGGCTGCCCGGCCGTATTTTCGCGAATTCAGAGCGTATCAGCGTATCACGCATATACGCTAGCGAATATACGTGATACGCCAGCCTTTCAAGAGCGTATCTGCCAACATAGCCCAGGGGGCACATAAAACCAGCACATCCATACATCACCCTACCCCAGAGCACATACATACATTACCCTACCCTAGTCACATACATTACCATGAACAGGGGGGCGCATGCGGGAATAGAGAGCCCAAGATAGATACGGAGTATGGTGCAACTCTCACATACTTACATCACCATGCATGCAGGCTACTTTTGAGACATCTCAAAAATACCCTTTATACACGTGGCCTCTTACACACTTACATCACCATGCATACAGGCCGCCACATACAGACATTACCCTCCCCGAGGGCACATAAATTACCGTGAATGAGGGAGCGCATGCGGGAATAGAGTACGAGGTAGATTCCTGAGTACGGTGCATCTCTTAGCAGGGTGCTCCCCAATCCTCGATATAAACCTGTAAACATCCAATAACGACCACGCGTACACAATATACATGTCGAAAATGCACAATCGGTGTCTTTTCGTGACCATCAAGAATTGTACCGCAAAACAAAACAAAACATAACAGTACTAACAGAAAGGTAAGCTATTACTGCAACAAAGTGCACGATAAATTGCCTTTACCTGCAATTCCTTCTGACCTGGCAATCGACATTAATCCTCCAAGCGTTCCTCTATAGGACTCTCCGCTCACTGCAGAAAACTGCACTGTAGAAAGGGGGACAGAAGAATTACACACACAAAGCAAGAGCAGACTGAAGATTGATCACCCCAGGTATCCCATTGTAAGGCTTTCCAATAGCAGCATAAAACTTCACTGCACTGTAGAAAGAGTGTTGCGTGAAAAAAGGTAATGCAAAAAGAATAGGATAGATTGTATTGCTGCCCAGGACACAGCTGAAAACAGGAAAGTGAGAAAAGAAAACGTGAAATCACCCACACACTGCTGCACTGGGAACCAGAACAGCCAGGTGGAAACAGATACGGGGAACAGCGCAGCAGCCGACAGCGATCGCGAAACCACGATGCTGCAGGTGTTGGTGTTACCACTAGGATGTAACACAAGAGCTCTCACTCACTTCCCCCCTTTTCCCACCCCCTTTACCCTTCCCCCCCAAGTTCCCCCTTCACCTCCATGCATGTCGTCACCACGGACACAGGGCACAGGGCACAGCAGCAGCAGCAGCAGCAGCAGCAGCAGCAGCAGCAGCAGCAGCAGCAGCAGCAGCAGCAGCAGCAGCAGCAGCAGCAGCAGCAGCAGCAGCAGCAGCAGCAGCAGCAGCAGCAGCAGCAGCAGCCAGCGCGTGTTTCAACGTCAGCGTGCTCGCCAACAAGAGCACTAGCTCCTCTCTTCCATCCCCCCCTCCCCCACCTCCCACTAACCTCCATGCGTGTCTTCACCACGGAAACGGGGCACAGCGCAGCAGCCGCCAGCGAAAGCAAGAGCATCATAACGCGAATGTTGGTGTTACCGATTGAATGCAACACGAGCGCTCACCTACCCCATTCGCTGTTCCCCCATTCACCTCCCACTAACCTCCATGCGTGTCTTCACCACGGACACAGGGCACAGCGCAGCCGCCGCCAGCGATCGCGAAACCACCGCCGCCATGAACGTAACCCGCGACGAGAACTGCGGAGCACCCGCACCCGCACCTGAAACCCCACCCTTCCGACTATCCCCACCCAGCGCCGCACCCTCCTCTTCCCCCACCCCGCCTTCCTCCCTCCCCTTCTGCCGCCTCCGCCTCCGGTTTTCCTCCACGGTATTCTCTAGGGCGGCGAGAGCGTGCATGGCCGGATCCAACGTGGCAAAGAAAAGCCCGAGGCCCAGCCCGAGTCGCACGCACGTGGGTCCCGTGCCGCGCCACAGCCCTCTCACGCCCTCCTTCTGGAGAATCATCCGAACCACGTGGCTCATGCTCGGCTGTAACGGCGGCGCGGTTGCCGCTGCGGCTAGGGCTTTCCTAGTGGCGGCGGTCGCGGCGGTGGTGGCGGCAGTGGCGGCTGTAGTGGCGGCGGTGGTGCTTGCCGAGGTTGTGGCAGGGTTTGTAGCAGCGGCTGTAGCTGCGGTTGTCGCGGCGCTTGCAGTGAGCCCTATAACAGCGTCTACCGCTGCCGATCTTAGCGATCGAGATCCCACGTCTTTCGCTGCGGATGCTACTGATGATGATGCCATCTTTCCAACGGACGGTGACGATGATCCCTGCAGATGCGTGCGGATCACATCGAACGGCTGCAGAAGAACGCCTGTGATAAGCCCTGTCGTCGCTCCCCATAGAAAATTCCCGCCGATTCTTCGTGTTTTTCCGGATCCTGACACTCCCGAGTCATGATTCTTTAAGGAAGCAGGACTGCTATTGCCTGATGTTGCCGTCGAGTCGCTAACTGAGCTATCGCCTGCTGCTGCAGACGAAGTCATGGCCGGACTGGAAGAATCCCTAGACAACCGACCCGCAAAAGAAAAATATTCGCCAAAAAAAAAACTATTGTTATTCGAAGAAACTGTCACTAATGCAGATGGAAGAAACGACACTACCAAAGGTATCTGAAGCGCTTAAAGTTGATCGCAATACACACTCGCGAAACAAGGCAGGTGCAGCCGCGAGCCACAGGCAAGCGGCGAGTGGAGGGCTGACAAGGGATATAGCAGGCCCGCAAACAACGGCTAGTGGAAGCAGGGGTGGACTAATATGGTTCATCCGAGCCTTGGTGGGCGCAAACCCACCAGGTGCCTCTCCCCACCAGGATGCGCGAGCTGGCGGAAGCTTTCTGCCCGGGGCAAAAAAAACTATTCCCCATCGCGACCAGCATGCCGTTCGGGAGCCTCAACCCTAAAATTTTAGGGTTGATGCCTCCCGAACCGCATGCCTTTCGAGGGGGCTTTAGATTTTTCTTGCCCGCGGGCAGCCCGCTTCCGCGAGCACGCGGAGGCCTTGTGGTAATGTGATCTCCTGACATGACAACCTTGAGGGTGCAGATGCGCATTTATTTCTATTGGTCGGGTAAAGATTCTTCAATGACACACCAGTTTGCGATGTTGATTTCCTTCGCAAGAGTTACCATTTCTTCGTAGAAGCATTTAGGACGTGTGAGATTTTTTATGGAGTTCGTAATCAGGGTCGAACTTTTAGTGGTTACCCTTTTCGCCAATGTTCGCTAACCGCCTCGCCGAAGTCGAAACAAATTCCCCGTTTGGGAAGTGCGAACCCTCATTTGTGAACTTGATACAGAAAAATTCGTGAACTTGCACAAACACAAAGATCCAAACGTGTGTGGTGTCAGGCACGTACGAGGTTTCAGCGAACCTCGCGACTCGTTCGTGCGCCAATGAGATCACAACCAAGACACAGCGCATTGCTGAACTCGCTATGGCCACCACGTGGCACAATTCGTGCCACGATGGCTAGTCGTGCGCGCGTCTCTCCCAGCGCACACAGATGTGAAGTTGAGCTGGAGGTCTAGGGCTCACTTTTTTTAGCAGCGCTCCGGTGACGTGTCGCGCTGTGGTGTGCTTGAAACCGGGTAACCTACAGTCTCCAATTGCGGCTCGGTTCCCCCTCTGTAAATTCGAACTTGCAAATTCGCACCTTGGTGTGTGATTGTGAGTATTCAAGAATTTGCACTCGCGGTGCGAACCTTGCCACATCTCAAAATCGATTCAAGTTCAGGTTATAAAACCCTGCTTAAATCGAGTAAAAAACGTGAACTTTCATAAACCCTTGTTTCACACACGACGTGTGAATTTGCAAGTTCGAATTTACAGAGGGGGAACCGAGCCGCAATTGGAGACTGTAGGTTACCCGGTTTCAAGCACACCACAGCGCGACACGTCACCGGAGCGCTGCTAAAAAAGGTGACCCCTAGACCTCCAGCTCAACTTCACATCTGTGGCAGTTGTGCACGATACAAATATCGGCGAGATTAACAAATTTCCAAGTCAGCATCTCACAATGACTCTCATTCAGCTCGTGCGTTTCCTGGGGATTGTGCTTCAAGGCTACCTGCGATGCCTCGTACTTCCAATGCTCACTGCCATTGGTGCGGCCATCCCCAGGCTCGTCGCTGCCTTCACTCTGCGATGTCAAGAATGTTGGCGGGATTTCATGGCCCCATCGTGTGCGCTGGGAGAGACGCGCGCACGACTAGCCATCGTGGCACGAATTGTGCCACGTGGTGGCCATAGCGAGTTCAACAATGCGCTGTGTCTTAGTTGTGATCTCATTGGCGCACGAATGAGTCGCGAGGTTCGCTGAAACCTCGTACGTGCCTGACACCACACACGTTTGGATCTTTGTGTTTGTGCAAGTTCACGAATTTTTCTGTATCAAGTTCACAAATGAGGGTTCGCACTTCCCAAACGGGGAATTTGTTTCGACTTCGGCGAGGCGGTTAGCGAACATTGGCGAAAAGGGTAACCACCAAAAGTTCGACCCTGATTACGAACTCCATAAAAATTCTCACACGTCCTTACTGGTTCATCAAATCCTTCCGCCCACATCAATTTGGGTAGAAACTTGAAAGGCCCTTTCCCTTAGATATTTGCATTTCCGAGGAGCTTGGAGTGGTGTTTCTGTGCCTGGGGCTTGGGATCGGTCGATCGGACGGTTCTGGTGGATGCGACGTGCGTGAATGACCTTGAACCAAAGCGCATCATGAGGCGACACTCGTCAGATTGGTAACGCTGGATTCGCATAACTCGTCAAGCTCTCAATTCTCAAGCTAGAATCAATGAAACCGCAAGGGCGTATTTGCTGAAACTCTGCTTTTCATTTCCGTCCCTTGCTTTGCTGGTCAGTAGCAACTGCCCACCTACACCTGGTGGCGTCAAGTTGTGCTTCGGACCCATTCATGATGTACGGTTCAGCTAGTTTCCTCGCGTTTCATCACGGTTTTCATGGCTCATCACGGTTCTTGGGGGTTCCTTCCAGAACGCAAAACAACAAATCAAACCTGTGTGCAGCTTACGCAAAACAACAAATCAGTCCTGCGTACGGTCTAGACCTTCGAGAACATCCCTCCCACCCAATTCCCAACGTCACTCATTGTCTCTCCTCTCTCGTCATCCTCCCACCATTCATCATCCTTTTTATCAATTGTCTTGATTGGGTGTTTTTCCAAGGGGAAAGATCATACAAGGGCCGAACAGTGCCAAGGAGGTGTTCGAACAAGGGCCGAGAGGCCCGAAACTAACCAAACCACTGCTCTACAAGGCATTTGCAGAGAGATATCATTTGATGAACGAATATTTGTTAAAATTTTGCTTTTTTCTCGCGCGTCATTTTTCATGAAAATGCTTACTGATTCATCACCTTCCACCCAGTAGCGTCGTTTAGCATGCCAGAAACACTTAGGGTAGTAAAAAAAACTAAAACCCCAAGGGGAACCTGTATGCATTTTCGGGATGGATCAACCCTAAAAACGGGAACCTTCGTTGTGTTTAGGGTTGATGCCTCCCTAGTCGCATCCATTTCAAATGGGTATTTTTTTTTTCTGCGCGTTTCCGATCAGGGAGTGATATTTATCACCCATAATGAATTTGTTTTTGGACTCACAAATTAACACAGAAGAACGCGATGTGCGCGTAGTAGTAGACGGCGGTCGTAACCATTGTTTTAATAAGCTGGACACAAATTTTGGTGCTGGTAAAATTTCTCTTTAAGTCACGGCTCGGCTTGTTCGCCTAGCCTCTTGGGCAGCTCGGGGTCGAAAATCCTACGGTCGAGATTTTCTGGCCCTACTTCGGTCATTCCTCTGGCACTCTTCGGCCCCAGTTTGATCATTTCCCTTTGTCCAAGCAGCTCGTCCCTACCACTCCCATACCAACCCAAACCAACTAGACTGGACTGGACACCCTCCCATCACTGCTTGCCACCTCCTAAAATATTTGCCACATCCCAAAATATCGACTACATTATCTCTTGATCGAGTGCGACGGCATTTACGTTTCCAGGCGTCGATTTGAACTTGCTCCCCTGACGTGATCGCTGTGTCAGTCCTAACTTATAGACATTTCCCTGTTCTGTTTGGTCATGACTCATCAAATCGCCTGCTAAGCTCAAGCTGTTTCATATGGACGTACAAAGGTATGTAACTCTTACCCGCGATAAAAAAAAAAAAACTTATCTCGCGCTTTGTTGCGACGATTTATCTTCCTAGGATACCCCTTGTGCTCAAAATGAATAACGGCGATGAACAAAAACTAGAACTATGCTGCATTGTCGCCTTTTTTATTTAGTTACATCTATTTATGTGTTTATTGAGCGCTTAGCTTGTTTTCGTGCCGTGAAGTGTGCTGGAGACAGAAATTGAAGCGAACACCAACAAGGCCTAATGCAAGCCACCGACGAATGTTATTGTTACCATTGCAATGCAGTAATGCCAAGTTAGTTTGTGAAGAAAGAATGAAACGAATTAAAACGAAAAAAATTGTATTTTGTAGGGAGTGAAAGTCTCATGTCAATCGGCGCTCTTCGTTTGCTGCTGGTTGCACAAACGTTACATCTTTCTCTTCTTGAGCCGACTAAAAACTCGACGAGAATTTTGAGTCGACTAAAAAATGACGACATCTCTCCCTTCTATTCAACAAGTTCTCCGCAAATCATTTACACTATCTTTTGTTCTTCTGCCCAGATCTCGCGAGAGATTCGCGCGGCTGTTGGCGGGGGACGCGGATGGCGCGCAGCAGCTCGGCGCGCAGCAGCAGGGGGGGGGGTGGGGAGTCGTCCAGGGACGGCAATGACAGCACGGATCCGCTTCTGCTGTCTATCCTGACGTGGCACCAGGACATCACGTACGCGGTAAGAACAGGGCGGAAAGTCGAGCTGAGCTTCGAAGATCCGTTTATTCTCTTCCGAGACTGGCATTCATTATCGTCACAGCAGATGAAAAAAAAACTTGTTCCAAATACTACTCATCGGCTTTTCACTGAAAGTCCACCGATCCAATCTGTTCTTCCCCCTTCCCTCCCTCTCTCCCATTTCGTCTTCCCTTAAGTCTCTCCCATCCCTGTCCTCATTCGGCCGTGCAGTTGCATCATCCTCCCATTTCTCCCTTTCCCTTTCTCCCTAAAAAGATTGCCGCAAGACTCCCTTCCTCCCCCCTCAACCCCCCCTCCCCTCCCTTCTCATCCTTCCCTTCTCATCCTTCTCCTCCTCCCCTCCCCCCCTTCCACCTCCCTCTCCCCCTCTTCCCCCAGCTCTGCACGTACACAGACGAGCTCTGCCAGCAGCATAGGAATGCCGAGGCTGGGAACGCTGCGGCTGGGAGTGCCGAGGCTGGGAATGCCGAGGCTGGGAGTGCCGAAGCTGGGAATACGGAGGAAGCAGGGGCGACAGACAAAGCAGCAGCGGTGACAGAAGAGGGCGGAGGCGAAGCGGACCGCCAGGGTTCGATTCCTGCCGTCGTCAAAGCAGCAGTTTTGGCGGAACTACAGAGTAACGGGTATCTCAAGGCATTCCAGGCGCTTATATCCGAGG